ACTCCATGAGCTTTATCATACCTCGTCTTAAAGCTATGTATGGTTCCTGCCTCCACTACATCACTTGCTAGCCTATTCCACTTCCTGACTACTCCATGACTGAAGAAATATTTCCTAACATACCTTTTACTCATCTGAGTCTTCAACTTCCAAGTGTGACCCCTTGTTTCTGTGTCCCCTCTCTGGAACATCCTGTCTCTGTCCACCTTGTCTATTCCACGCAGTATTTTGAATGTCATTATCATGTCTCCTATAACCCTCCTGTCCTCCACTGTCGTCAGGCCGATTTCCCTTAACCTTTCTTCGTAGGACATTCCCCTTAGCTCTGGAACTAACCTTGTCGCAAACCTTTGCACTTTCTCTAATTTCTTGACGTGCTTGACCTGGTGTGGGTTCCAAACGTACGTACGTGTGTGTGTGTGTGTGTGTGTGTGTGTGTGTGTGTGTGTGTGTCTATAGTCCTGCCTCTCAACTTGCTGTTTGTCAGAGTTACTCCCTCCAGCCTTATGGGCTGTCATACCTCCTCTTAAATCTAGGCATGGAGCCTGCATTCACTTCTTCGTCCAAGTCATTCCACTTCCTGATCACTCTGAGACTGAAGAAGTAGGTCCTGACATCATTGTGACTCATTTATGACTACCTTCCAACTTCGTACCCACGTACCTGTTTCCCGCCTCTCAGATAGTTTATCCCGATCTACCCTATCAGTTCGTCTTGAGTATTTTGTATATTATAATGTCTCCCATTGATCTTCTGTCCTCTGATGTCATCAGGTTCAGTTCGTTTTGGACATTTTGGACATAAAGAATTTTTGTCAAGAAAATCTAAAAAAAAAAAAAAAAAAAAAAGAAAAAGGCAAAATGCAAAATATAGCCAGATATCACAATTCTTGTTGCTACATCTGGATGTCTGTTTCAAGAAATAAGCATATTCTAGCAGCCTCTCCTCATAGATCCTTCCCTTAACTCCTGGTACTAGTTCTTTGCATACCTCTACATTGTCCGGTATCTGAACATGCTTTATCAGGGGAGAGTTCCATGTTGGTGCTTCGTGGTTCAAGATGAACTAGACATGCATTATGTTAAGGAACGTAAATGACTCATTGTTGAGATAGCTGAAAGTTATTTTTATAGCTGCCAAGCAACCATTAACTGCAGGTATTAATAAGATACACACAGATTAAGACTAAGGGACTGAGCATCTTGTATCACGGCTATGGGACTGAACACCTATTAAGATGACATTTCCATGACTTGTACTCTTTCCAGTGTAAAGGTCGCTACGGTATTAGACTGGAAAAAATGCCTTCTGTGTGTGCCTTCCACACGTCATATTCATCCTGTCGGTATTGTATATCATTAATGTAATGAAAGCTTTGAATTATTAATTTCTTTTATTATTTCAAGACTGGTGTTAGTAGCTCAAGCTGTAATTTCCTTAGCTAGTACAATTTGCTGTTTTATTTCTGTGTTTTCTTAATTTTGGCATAACTATCTATTTTGGTTTTATATTTCTTTATTCCTTTTATCTCTTTGAAGCTTTTGTTGATATTTTGTGTGAATCATGAACTAGTTGCCCCTGTTTATCTAGCTTTGTATTTTCTTTTTTTGTTTTTATTTCTGCATAACTATCTTGTATTTTTGGTGTATATTCCACCAAGTTTTTTAATCTCCTCTATATGAGAACTCTTCAGTATTTCTTTTTCAGTCTTAAAACTTTCATTTTCATTATTTAGTTTGTCTTTCAGTTCTTTCTGCTTTACCTGGTTTTGTTCCAATTTCATCATTCTGTGCATCAGTTCATTCATTGTGTCTGGTGTGTGAAGATATATCTATACATTTACCCAGTGTTCTCGGTCATTGTGTAAACAAAGGTTCTGCTGATGTTTGTTTTACTGTTTTGCTTTACAGTAACAATACTGTTAATCTCCTCACTTTAGGATCTTTTAAAGCATAATATTTATACATTAGCGACAATGTGAAACATATTGTACTTCCTTAAGAAGAACGAGTAGAAATTGTAATCTCTCTAAGCAAGAAAGGATGTTGCTGCCATCTGCACTCACCTAGTTGTGGTTGCAGGGGTCGATTCATAGCTCCTGGCCCCGCCTCTTCACTGGTCGCTACTAGGTCACTCTCCCTGCTCCATGAGCTTTATTGTACCTCTTCTTAAAGCTGTATATGGATCCTGCCTCCACTACATCAATTCCCAGACTATTCCATTTCCTGACAACTCTGTGACTGAAGACATACTGCCTAATCTGTGTGTACTCACCTAGTTGAGGTTGCAGGGGTCGAGTCCAAGCTCCTGTGTGTGTGTGTGTGTGTGTGTGTGTGTGTGTGTGTGTGTGTGTACTCACCTATTTGAGATTTCAGGGGTCGAATCAGAGCTCCTGGCCCCGCCTTTCGCTGGTCGTTACTGGGTCCACTTCCTATTCTAAGCCCCTTGTCATTAACTCTCCTTAAAGCTATATATGGATCCTTGTTCTACTACATCGCTCTCCAGATGTGTGTGTGTGTGTGTGTGTGTGTGTGTGTGTGTGTGTGTGTGTGTGTGTGTGTGAATACACATATATAGATATAGGAGAACTATGCTTGTGGCGTCTTGTCTTCAGTATTTATTTTTATTTCTAAAGGTAGTAATTACTACTATCTCCTTTAATTCATTCCGTTGGTCTGTTGCTGTGGGGTAGACCTTCGGCTTCGCTTTTGTTTTCTAAGCATATAACCGACCTTTTTGTTACGCCTGTTACAGATACTAGGAAATCTTTATTATTTCGTTTTTTTTTATATAGTCTTGAAGGCGGTTATCATGTCTCATTTATTTTCCTGCTATCAGCCAGTGTGGAGACATCTTGTGTTGATAAATTAGACACATGTGCAACTCTTGGGTATCTTTATTGAGGAAACGTTTCGCCACACAGTGGCTTCATCAGTCCATACGTAGGAGAAACTTGAAGAACAGGAGGAGAATGAGGTAATCAGTCCCTCAACCTTGAGTCGATGTGTTCAGTCCATCAATCTTGAATAGAATACGGTATATGAGCGGAGAAGCAGCTTATAAACCGTATGGCAGGAGAGGTGCAGCAGTCATAGGTGGTGTCACATTTGTTCAATGTGGAAGTAGGTTGTGCCCAAGAATTAGGCAAGCGAAGAATTCCTAAGTATTAAGATCCCAAGAAGTTGCAGTGTCTGACAGGTTTGTAGGTGAATGGTTCAGAGAACCATTCACCTTGCCTAATTCTTGGGCACAACCTACTTCCACATTGAACAAATGTGACACCACCTATGACTGCTGCACCTCTCCTGCCATACGGTTTATAAGCTCCTTCTCCGCTCATATGCCGTATTCTATTCAAGATTGATGGACTGAACACATCGACTCAAGGTTGAGGGACTGATTACCTCATTCTCCTCCTGTTCTTCAAGTTTCTCCTACGTATGGACTGATGAAGCCACTGTGTAGCGAAACGTTTCCTCAATAAAGATACCCAAGAGTTGCACATGTGTCTAATTTATCAACATGTCGGTTCTCTGAAACATTCACCTACAAACACATCTTGTGTTAACAATATTCATCACAAACTCATTATTTAGCTCTGGTACATGTTAGGCTTTTATTTGGACATTTTTTTTTTTAAATTTTTTACCTTTTTTCAGGTGTACGCAACACTCAACTGCTGCATATTCTAATTTTGGTCTAACATATGTTGTATCTAGCTTTAACATTTCTCCACCCATATTTAAAAGTTTTTTTATTGTAGTTTACCAGTGTAGCACATGAGTTCCACAATTTAATTTACATGATGTTCCGGTGACATTTTTATAATACCTCCTAGATTCTGATGCTTTGCATATTTTGTTAGTTTGTATTTTTTGTGGCTTGAATTTGCTTTCCATCTTCTCTTTACATGACATTTATTTACGTTATAAATTCTGTCATCCATCGTCTCATTTGATCCAAGTCGTTCTTTAATGATTTACATTCATTTTTGTTTATTTACCTAAGAATTTTGTAGTATCCGCAAGCGTAGTCACATACTTTTTTTAGTGGTAAGTCATTGATATAAATTCAAAACATTATGGGATTAAGTGACATCCCACTGGTACCATCTCACCACGAGGACATTTTTATGTTGTTAACTGTTTGCATTTTTCCTCTCATCGTCTCTTATCCATTGTAAGACTGCTTTTTATTCCTATAACGCTTTGTATTTTTTCAGAATAGTCTTTCATTGGGAACTATCGAAAACCGTCTTAAAGTCTTTATAAATACAATCCTCCCATCCACTTCTTTCTCGAACAGTTTACGTGACTGTCGTAAGATTAGATGTACTGTACATGAATTGACAGAAAAAAATATTTCTTTAAAATCATTCTATCCACTTTCCTCTGATGAGTTTTCGTTATTTTTATGTCAATGAAATTGTCATGTAGTTTTAGGGTCTTCCCTGTCTTTTTTTTTTAATATTGGTACAGATTATGCCATCTTTCATATGTCTGTCAGTTCTCCTCATATAGTGAAATTCCAAAAATGAAAGCAAAGTGGATAGCTTAACCCCTTCGCAAATTTTGGTATTAAAACCCATGATGATATCCTGTCTATTGGTGTGCCTTGTCTATCTTATAGTTTTGTGTCTTGTCCTAGCTTTGTCCTACCTTTGTCCTGTCTTGTATTTTTGTTCTATTTTTGTTCTGTCTTGTCCTAGCTTTGTATTTCTGTCTTCATAACTTAGTTGTGTCTCTTGACACCAGTGAGTTATAGTTTTCCAGATAGAAACCTGGAAAACTTGGTAAGCACAAATAAGAAGCTCGTCTGTCTGGCTCTCGGCAGAGGGAGGATCAAGCCTCCACTACGTCTTACGTTGGGTGACCCACATGGGTTTAGCTCTTAACATTAATTATTGTTATTATATTTTATCTCGTAGCAGTGCCTTCAGTTTCACCACTGGAAGTTTGACCACCCTCAGCTCTTCGTCACCGGTGTCTTCTTTCTTACAGCACTTCTTGGAGACGCTACAGCCCTTCGAGACCGAGAACGAGAATGAGATAGCCAACTACCTCTATAACAGGTCCAAGGAAATCGAGCCCAAGAGCTGCAAAAAGCCACCTAGCAAGGTATGTCCAAGACGCAAGTGTTTGTTTAGTAGTGTATAGTGGTTCACAAGCGTTTTGAATGATGAACAACTCTCTCAAACTTTGAATGGTGCTCAACTCTCACACAAGCTTTGAATGATGGTGTATACCTCACCCATGACTTTGAAGGAGGGTGTACACTTCACCCATGACTTTGAAGGAGGGTGTACACTTCACCCATGACTTTGAAGGAGGGTGTACACTTCACCCATGACTTTGAAGGAGGGTGTACACTTCACCCATGACTTTGAAGGAGGGTGTACACTTCACCCATGACTTTGAAGGAGGGTGTACACTTCACCCATGACTTTGAAGGAGGGTGTACACTTCACCCATGACTTTGAAGGAGGGTGTACACTTCACCCATGACTTTGAAGGAGGGTGTACACTTCACCCATGACTTTGAAGGAGGGTGTACACTTCACCCATGACTTTGAAGGAGGGTGTACACTTCACCCATGACTTTGAAGGAGGGTGTACACTTCACCCATGACTTTGAAGGAGGGTGTACACTTCACCCATGACTTTGAAGGAGGGTGTACACTTCACCCATGACTTTGAAGGAGGGTGTACACTTCACCCATGACTTTGAAGGAGGGTGTACACTTCACCCATGACTTTGAAGGAGGGTGTACACTTCACCCATGACTTTGAAGGAGGGTGTACACTTCACCCATGACTTTGAAGGAGGGTGTACACTTCACCCATGACTTTGAAGGAGGGTGTACACTTCACCCATGACTTTGAAGGAGGGTGTACACTTCACCCATGACTTTGAAGGAGGGTGTACACTTCACCCATGACTTTGAAGGAGGGTGTACACTTCACCCATGACTTTGAAGGAGGGTGTACACTTCACCCATGACTTTGAAGGAGGGTGTACACTTCACCCATGACTTTGAAGGAGGGTGTACACTTTACCCATGACTTTGAAGGAGGGTGTACACTTCACCCATGACTTTGAAGGAGGGTATACACTTCACCCATGACTTTGAAGGAGGGTGTACACTTCACCCATGACTTTGAAGGAGGGTGTACACTTCACCCATGACTTTGAAGGAGGGTGTACACTTCACCCATGACTTTGAAGGAGGGTGTACACTTCACCCATGACTTTGAAGGAGGGTGTACACTTCACCCATGACTTTGAAGGAGGGTGTACACTTCACCCATGACTTTGAAGGAGGGTGTACACTTCACCCATGACTTTGAAGGAGGGTGTACACTTCACCCATGACTTTGAAGGAGGGTGTACACTTCACCCATGACTTTGAAGGAGGGTGTACACTTTACCCATGACTTTGAAGGAGGGTGTACACTTCACCCATGACTTTGAAGGAGGGTATACACTTCACCCATGACTTTGAAGGAGGGTGTACACTTCACCCATGACTTTGAAGGAGGGTGTACACTTCACCCATGACTTTGAAGGAGGGTGTACACTTTACCCATGACTTTGAAGGAGGGTGTACACTTCACCCATGACTTTGAAGGAGGGTATACACTTCACCCATGACTTTGAAGGAGGGTGTACACTTCACCCATGACTTTGAAGGAGGGTGTACACTTCACCTATGACTTTGAAGGAGGGTATACACTTTACCCATGACTTTGAAGGAGGGTGTACACTTCACCCATGACTTTGAAGGAGGGTATACACTTCACCCATGACTTTGAAGGAGGGTGTACACTTCACCCATGACTTTGAAGGAGGGTGTACACTTTACCCATGACTTTGAAGGAGGGTGTACACTTCACCCATGACGTGAAATGAGGGTGTACAACTCTCATATATACTAAATACTAAAATACACTATTATTGCTAAATATTGATGTAGATAACTTTACAGCTTCCAGAGCGGAGACGGCTAAACTTTACTGAGATGGAATCTACTTTTTTGAAAGATCTCCCAATACGATTTACTAATATATATATATATATATATATATATATATATATATATATATATATATATATATATATATATATATATATATATATCCATGGGGAGGTTGAACAGAATTCTTCCTCCGTAAGCCATGCGTGTCGTAAGAGGCGATTAAAATGCAGGGAGCAAGAGGCTAGTAACCCCTTCTCCTGTATATATTACTAAATGTAAAAGGAGAAACTTGTTTTTCCTTTTGGGCCACCCCGCCTCGGTGGGATACGGCCGGTGTGTTTGAAGAAAATGATATATATATATATATATATATATATATATATATATATATATATATATATATATATATATATATATATATATGCTGCATAAGTGTCTCAATCTTCAACTTGTCGGTTTTTAAAACCATTCATAACACACACACACACACACACACACACACACACACACACACACAGGACAGGAGAGATAGGGGGGACATGATAACGACATACAAAATACTGAGAGGAATTGACAAGGTGGACAAAGACAGGATGTTCCAGAGATTGGACACAGTAACAAGGGGACACAGTTGGAAGCTGAAGACACAGATGAATCACAGGGATGTTAGGAAGTATTTCTTCAGCCACAGAGTAGTCAGTAAGTGGAATAGTTTGGGAAGCGATGTAGTGGAGGCAGGATCCATACATAGCTTTAAGCAGAGGTATGATAAAGCTCACGGCTCAGGGAGAGTGACCTAGTAGGGATCAGTGAAGAGGCGGGGCCAGGAGCTCGGACTCGACCCCCGCAACCTCAACTAGGTGAGTACAACTAGGTGAGTACACACACACATATAGACTGTTCAAGGAACATTTATTGAAAATTGATTACTGTCTGGAAAACCTTCCAACGCCAACCCCAAACATCTTGCTGCTTGGTGATTTCAATTTAAGTGATACAAAATAGAGGAATTTAGCAAATATTGCCATTGCAGAGGCTATTCTTGGAGGCAGCTCAGATGAAAAGTCACACACACACATAAGTTGCTGAATCTCCGTAATAAATACACCCTAAGCCAACAGATAGTGGAGCCAACAAGACTAGAAAACGCACTTGGCATTATTTTCACAAATAATGAGGACCCGGTAAGAAACATAATATCTAAAACAACTAATCCAGATCACAATCTAATCAAAGTCCAGACTTGCATGCGCAGGGGTCCTGACCAGCAAAATGCATACAGCCGAGAGGGTGCCTTCACTAAATTCAACTTCAAGAACATCAACTGGGATCAGGTAAACCATGTCCTAAATGAAATATGTTGGAAATATATTTTAAATAACGTGGATCCAAACCTGTGCCTTAAAATGATCAACTTTCTGGCAGGTGAAGTATGTTCACATTGTATTTCCCCAAGGAAAAGGAAGAGAAGAAATAAACTGGAGAGAGAAAGGCGCTCCCTCTACAGGAGGAGTTTAAGAACCACTGAGCTCCTCAATGAGGCTGCATTATCTGAAACACAGAAGGAAGCACTGACCAGGGAAGTGAAAAATATTGAGCTTAAGTTAAATGATTCGTGCAGGATCCAGAAGAGACAGGAGGAGCTAAAAGCAGTTAGTGAAATCAAAAGAATTTCAAAATAGTAATTTTCATAAGCCAAAAACCACATCTGGTATCTGGCCCTTGCTCAAACAGGATGGCACTTACCCATATGACAACAAAGAAGTGAGATACTGAAGTCTCAGTTCAATTCTGTGTTTAGCGAGCCATTAATCAGTCTAACAGTTTTTTTCATGAATGAGCCTCAAAGCCCTGCCAGTGTATTCCAGATTTCTGACATAACCCTAACTCCACTGAACTTTGAAAAAGCCATTGACAACATGCCCATGCACTCAGCCCCAGGCCCAGACTTGTGGAACTCCGTGTCCATTAAGAACTACAAGAAACTCCTTTCACGTGCCTTAAATATGCTATGGAGAGGGAGCATATGTATAAGTGACATCACACAGTCACTAAAAACAACGGATATAGCCCCATTCCATAAAGGTGGCAGCAAAGCAGTAGCTAAGAACTATAGACCAATAGCTCTAACGTCCCACATCATGGAAATCTTTGAAAAAGTTCTAAGAAGTATGACTGCAATTAACTTGGATTCCCAACAGTTGCATAATCCAGGGCAGCATGGGTTCAGAGCAGATCGATCCTGCCTCTCTCAACTACTGGACCACTGCGATATGGTCTTGGATTTACTGGAAGACAAACAGAATGCAGATGTAGTATACATACATTTTTCAGAAGCCTTTGACAAGTGCGATCATGGTGTAATAGAGCACAAAATGCGCGCTAAAGGGATAACTGGCAAACTGGGCAGGTGGATCTTCAACTTTCTAACCAATTGAACACAAAGAGTAATGGTACAAAGAGTTACGTCTGAGGCTACAACAGTAAAAAGCTCTGTTCCACAAGGCACAGTACTTGCCCCCATCCTGTTCCTCAGCCTCATATCTAACATAGACAGAGATGTAAACCATAGCACCGTGTCATCCTTTGCAGACGATATTAGAATCTTCATGAGACTATCATCCAGTGAGGACACGGTAATTCTCCAAGTACATATAAAGCAAGTTTTCCAGTGGGCAACAGAAAACAATATGTTAAATGAGGGCACATTTCAACTACTCCTATATGGAAAACTGGAGGAAATAATAGCTAGAACTGAGTATACTATAAACTCTATTCATACAATAGAGTGGAAAAGTAGTGTGAAGGACTTGGGAGTGTTAATGTCAGAGGATCTCACCTTCAATGATTACAACAGTATCGCTATCACATCTGTTAGGAAAATGGTAGAGAACCTTCAAAAGAATGGAAGCCAAGCCAGTGATCCTTTTTAAATCACCTGTTTTCTCTAGGCTGGAATATTGCTGTACGTTAACATCTCCATTCAAGGCAGGTGAAATCGCAGATCTAGAAAATGTACAGAAAACCTTTACTACACAAATAAGTTCCGTCAGACACCTTAATTCCTGGGAACGGTTAAGTCCCTTGACTTGTACTCGCTGGAGCACAGGCGAGAGAGATGCATCATAATCTACAACTGAA